CAGCTAAAAATATTAAAGTACATCTTGATTATCTATGTACAATTTAAGTTTAAATTAAGTACATCCTAACATTTAGATAAATTACTTTCAAACTCTTGTTCATGTTTTCATCTTACGAATGAGGACATGTCCCTCTTCAGGGAGATGAGATATACATAGATTGGTTAAAGATGTCTGTTTTGCTCAGGCCTCAAGGACTGTTGAATCATCATGGTCCATCATTAGATTGCAGTTATGGTCCAGTTCAGAATTGATTGCACACTGGATAGCATAAGTGGAATATTAGAATCATTGCTCATTGTTTCATGAACTGAAGCAACAATGCTTTGTAAGAAACCCTGAGAACGGATTCATTTCAGGATCACACTTTTTGTCTTGATTACTTTCTTCATCCTATCACAAGAGATCAGATTCTCCAGCCAGGGGAAGTACAGGAGCTATAGATATATAGCTGAAGAATATTTGCTAAATAGAACCACTAGAATTCATCCTATGTCCATAATTTTTTAAAATAATTGACTAAGTCTGTTTAAATTCACCCTGAATGGTTCAGTTAAAAAAAAAAAAAAAGGAATGGGGTCAGCTTTTCTGAAATTACAAAAAGTATTTTAGACATTTCAGTTTTAACATGAAAAAGTTAAGACATCTCTCTCCATAGGTTTTAGTATACCTCATGAAAAGGCCAGCAAAGGATTTCTTATGTCTTAATTTTCCAGACAAAAAAAAAAAAATACCGCTTTGCTTGTTTTATCATCCTGTTTTCAAAGTAATCCTTCCCAAAAAATATATGCTTTTCTTTGTTGCATGATTAAAAAGGAGACAGAAGTTTTCACAGAATCATACAAAATCACAGAATGGTTGAGGTTGGAAGGGACCTCCAGAGATTATCCAGTCCAACCCCCCTGCTCCAGCAGGGACACCCAGAGCATGTGGCACAGGGCGGCATCCAAGCGGGTTTGGAAGATCTCCCGAGAAGGAGACTACACAGCCTCTCTGGGCAGCCTGTGCCAGGGCTCTGTCACCCTCACAGGAAAGAAGTTCTTCCTCACATGGAGGTGGAACTGCCTGTGTTTCAGCTTGTACCCGTTACCCCTCATCCTGTCACCAGCCACCACAAAGAAGAGCCTGGTCCCATCCTCCCTACAATCACCCCTCAGGTACTCGAACATGTTGATCAAGTCTCCTCTCAGCCTTCTCTTCTCCAGACTAAACAGGCCCAGCTCGCTTAGTCTTTCCTCATA